AATTACTAAAAATTTAAAAGAGTAAATTGAAAATATTTTTTTTTTTTTTGCTTGGATTATTTACAACATTTACAAAAGATGGGGGTATGAAGTAAAGAGATATGGTGTGAATAGTATGGGCGGTAATTATAAAGAAATGAAGTGGACGTGGGTCAACGGCGAAGTTAAATCACGAAGTAGATGGAGTAAAGACCAAGTAGAGTAAGAAAGAGTAGAGACCACGGCGCGGTCCTGAGCGCTGACGTTGTCACCTGGAAGGTCACGAAAAGAAGACTCGGAAGGCAGACTTCAGCCGCAGCACCTCGGGCTAGTCGGTGTTTCGATGTCTCAGTCGAAGTAGGCCCCAAGACGTATGACATCCCGTAAGCGGGACTTATTGACTAGTTAAAAAAGCTCGCACAATATGAGCGGTGAAAGAGGATTCTACCACACCTATTTAACAGTTTAAAAGAAGCTAAATTTGTTTTACTATCAAATCATATTAATTACGATAGTGTAAATATGTTTTCGCTCCGTATTATATTGCAATTAACCTTTCTAGAGTATCCAAACAAGATAATTTGAGCGTATACTCTTAATCTTATTTGCAATTACCATCTGCTGACAGTAACAAGCATATTAAACAGTCCGTTGTATATGTGAAAGTGAAAGAAAAGTTTATAGGTATATTAATACAGTACTTAGTATATTTAAAATCGTTAGATGTAATGTAATACATTTTATACTCTTTATAGCATTGTAACAATAGTTGTTAAGGAAACATTAACCTTTAATAAATATGGTGTATTAATTCAGGCTTAAAATTATCTGTATACCAAATTCTATCAAGATCCATTCAGTAGTTTTTGCGTGAAAGCGTAACAAACATACATACATCCTCACAAATTTTTGTTGAATATTATCTTGGACCAGAGACAATTTAAACAAACAATCCCAAACTAGACGAGGTTTCCTAACTTGATTACAAAATCGGTTTTTAAAACCATATCTTTGCAAAATTTGACTCGCACTAACATGACAAAAATAAAGAAAAGCTCGTAATATAAAGAAACTTAAACGGCTAACCTTTCGAAAATAGTTCAGATTGTTAAAAAATGTGCGCTAGCATTATAATTTGATGATTTTTATTTTATCAAAAAACATGTCCATCTATATATGTATGATGCTTGGGAAAACTATTTAGTTCGAATCAGATAAGAGATAAATATGTAGATGACTAAGATAAATAGGCATTAAAGTTGGCACACTAATATGCCTGTTCAGATGTCAAGAACTACATAAAAAATCGACATAGATGTGACATGAACTCAATGTATTGTCGTTATTTATTGACTAGGAAAAAATATCGAATAAAAATGGATTCATATTTATATTCTCACTACTGACAGGCCCATTCACATGAATGGGAGCAAGTAGGGCAAATGGGCCATGATCTACTCGATCTTCGCGAGCTCTGTGTAAATTGGTGGATGTTGGCGAATGCAGATAAAGAAACGTGCCTTCCGAACTACAGATGAGCACGAAATAATTTATTTTTATCACACATTCCATGCCCAGCCCTTGCGATGAACAGAACAGAACAGGAGCTTTGTGCCCTTACTAATATTTTTTTATCACCACTTAACAAAAGCGCATTACTAAAAATAACTACTGACAATGAGTCAGTAACATTACTTTCCTTTAATTTGCATGGAGACAGCACAAGAGGCTGTATCACTTGATTAGCTTAGAGAAAGCTGAGATGGCCGCTGAATAAGCAATCGTATGATACACTATGTTTTTTTTTGCAAAATTAGATGACAATACATTTTGTTTGCATTAGAAATATTTTTGATATAACTATAAACTAAATTCTGCGTCTCGGTGTGTAATTTAGAATAGTTTTGGATGAAAAAGTTTCAAAAATATAACCATAAAATAAACAAAGGAAGTTCTATATATAAGAAAGCATCACAAACCGAATGAACTAAATACTCATCACTTTTATGAAAATGTGAGTTATTAATAAGCTCGTTAATGAAAATCAATATAGAGCTAAAAACGACAATACTGCAAATTAATAAATGTATACTAATTTATTCATAAATGACATTTGATTAGTATTACAGTGTATTTAAAGTTTATGTTAGCGTATTATATAGCTTATAATTTTTACACAGTTTCTATTATTATTATTTTTTGCATACACCAATATTGGTTACACGGCCTTCGTGTAAACTTTTTAGTGTCATAACTAGGTAGACTTGTGTGTCGGACAAGTAGAGCTAACATAGTTTAATTATATAATCACTTTTTATCAGGCAACATTATATCTTAAATATTAAAAATAAAACAAACAAATTAATAATAAATGCAATATAAAACTTACTTTAACACAATTAAAAGCATCTCTGTGTCCTCATACGACATCGTTTGCAGTTTCTTTAATCTTTAACTTACAATTTCTTAAATTTAGTTAGTGAATGTCTGTGAGCGTTTAATATATTGTATAGTACATTTTAATAAATTTATATTTATATTTTAAATCATTATTGTATTTATGTGGCCAATAACTGTATTTTCTTTCTTTCTTTAATACCGTTTACCTCGTCTGACCTTTCTTTTTCATTGGGATATTTTCGTATCGTTTTATAAATGCAAGTAAGCCAAAGCAAGTGATGTTAAGAGAATGCAATAAAAAAAGTTGCATTACGTCTTGCAGTTTGTTATTGGCCCTCATTATAATAACTTGCAACTCAATAGGTCTTAATGATGAACCGATTGAATGGAGCATAAGATGACGAGCATATTTTGAAGTTGACATGATCAGTTTTTTTAGGATACTAAAGGAGAAAATACTGTAGATTTTTTTAAAATTATATTACATTCATAATTTTGATTAAAAGCTTGTAACAAAAACCAGGATAATATATTTTGTACGCGGCTGCGCGTCAGGCATCATATGTCAAATTTCCTCAATTCATTTTGAACTTGTATCATTGTTTCATTGTTTAAAATTAAGCGGTGAAAATTGTCAGTGTGGCCTGACGTGCTGTTGGCTGAATATTGTTTTGAAACTTATTAAAAAGGACAATGTCCAAATTAGCCTATGAACCTCTAAGAATATCTTGTATATCATAATTCTTATCATATTTTATGATTAATATATCAGCTTTTAAAATCAAACGGACACTGCCCATTTTTGTAATTACTTTAAAAAGTAATATCAATACATTTGATAAACTTCAATAAACGCTGCCACCATATTTTAATAAGTTGACAAATCAGGATCAATGCACAATTTGATGTATAATCAACTAATGAACACTTAAAGCGCTTGACATTAAAACGAGACTCAAAACGTTCGTAGATTTTTAAGCGGCTGGAAGCGCTCTTTTACATACGTTTGACAATTTTGAACTTTTGAAGTTTTGTTTGACAATCGCTTTCATACTCGCGTTGTGTTTACGTCGCTTGAGTTTGTTTGTACGATTTCTTGTGTCTTGTAAATATTAGTTATAAAATAACGACTTGGCTTGAACTAAGGACTGATTTCGTCTTATAATATCGACCTCCGGCACTGATTTACGGCATACCGACCTACTATAGACGACGACTTGGCATTTATTTAACGGACATTAACATGGAATCTGGGTGTGTTGAAGTATTTTGTGTTAATTGCGGTTCAGCTTCTGGTTGCATGGTATTAGAAGATGAGCAGATGCTTCAGTGTATACAACACTGGGTTGCTCCAAGATTGGTAAGTACATGCTCCCGATACAGAACCTACAGAACCTTTTAAAGCAAACAACAACAATCAACATTTAAAGCAAAGTAGACATACATTTCCCTACAAAAAGCAAGTAAAACAAACATTAAAAAGAATCTAACCGCACGCTACAATTGTTAAAATTATAACCTCAAATCCAAAATATATTTTTTGATTTATACATTTGTTAGAAGTGTCAGTTACTTAAACATGTATTTAGACGTAAATATAGATACTTTAGAACACGAAAAGTGATAGTACATGCTTAGAGGTTCTTAGGCGAAAAATGTATGGGGGCTGGACATTGTCCTTTATGTGAAAACTGACGATTTTTTGCACATATAATTAAATACCTTAAATTAGCTTATAAATGATAAAAAAGATATATTATGCTGTTATTTTTATTATTATTCTCACACTTCTGAATAGAGATTTTAAATAGTTTGATAAGAAAGAGATCTTGAAATGATAAGCAATTTTACCTATTGATAATTTCTAGGCGCGATTTATTTCAGCGGCACCATGACCTGTATAATCGGGTAACAACAGACAGACGGAGCTTTCTTCCATATAATTACTAAGAACATTTTCTAGATGATTTAAATTTTTTTGCCCCTATTACAGATATTCTCGGTATTCTCGGTATCAGTAAAGTAACAGGATAATATAGTTTCTAATATAATAAGACCAACAAACATATTAAATATAAAATACAAACATACTCAATAATTCCTCAGCCAATCGCAGCACGGAGTTCGCGGCAAATCCTTATTTTTGAACAGACATTTATTGTATTTCGCCATCATGTGGCAATGGACGTCGTAAAGTTAACGCTTCCTAATGAATGATGGGAGGTGGATATACGGGAATTTTGAAATTGGCTATGCATAAATTAACAAATTATTTTATGATAACTGGCGTCAACAAAATACTTATGCGGAACCATCAGTGCGTGTTTCCGACTCACACTTTTAGCTTATTACATTTTTCATTTATTTAGGACAACTTAGAAACATACTCACACCATAACCTTAAAGAGCAAAATCAGTCGTGATGCAGCTATTTTTATAATTTAGTTTATTTACAAGTACGCTAAGTCTTAACGAGAGAAGTGACATTAAAAAAACATTAATACATGTAAAGAAAATATTTTTTTGTATTAGTACTTTGTTATTTATTATTTATAAACGATTATTATACTATTTAAATTAAAATCTTAATGATATTAAAGAAATAAATTTCTATAAAAGTGCTATTTCCGGCGGTTCTTAGAAAAAATATCCTGTATCTGCATATTGGATAGCCCTTTTGTCTCTGGTACAAAGAAGAAGCTAAAAGTAGCGTTGACAATAGCGTTGACTGCGAAAATGTAGAATATTCCATGGATGCCGATGATTTCTTTCAGCCACGTAAACGCAGCTAACACAACGAAATTCAAAAACCATGCGCATTCAATGATAACAGAAGAAGCAAAAGCTTGAACCTGTAACAAAAATTATACCTACTCATATTTATACCCACATCCTCAGGGGGTGTGTAATGTAGATATCGCCTCTAAGGGCTCAACTGACTGACAAGTACACCCGGACACTTACCCACTAATACCTAACGTTATACCCTCTCCATAGGATCACCTCTGAGGTTCATCCCAAAAGATCAAGTCTCAGGGCACTCTAGTTTTTTTTCCCCTTAGATAGCAAATAGGGGGAGCCTCAAAGACACCATTTGAAATCAATATAAATTCTAAAATGACATTTTCATACGTCTCGCTTACAATTAGAGTAGCATTTATGAAATCATTCCTTTAATCGAGATTTCCTATCTTTTGCCGACAATAAAACCTTTTTAAAATTATTGTATACTTTTTATAGAGTAGCTCGGTGGCGTAGTGGATAAGCGCCGCAGCCCGCGATCGTTGTCGCTAAGCAACTTTCGCAAGGATCGGTCACGGGATGGGTGACCAAAAAAAAATTGTCTCGCGCTACTCCGTGCTTCGGAAAGCACGTTAAGCCGTTGGTCCCGGCTGTATTTGCAGTCGTTAATACCCTCTAATCCGCATTGGGCCAGCGTGGAGGGTCATGGCCCATCCTCCTTAGCCATCCATAAGGAAGGCCTTAGCCCCTGCAGTGGGGACGTAAAAGGGCTGCTGATGATGATGATGACGATACTTTCTATACTTTTAATATTTACTTTGATATTTTGTTTTATTATAAAAAAAATATCGAAACCCACGGATTTTTATCTTAATATTTTAACAAGCTATTTCTGTATCTTTCAAGGCTCCCAATCAAAGTTAGTAAATCTCATCATGACACACATAATTCATAATAGTTATAGAATTTTAAAAATTTTACTCTATTCCAAGTTCACGATATTCTGATAACATTTACTTTTATTTATCATAAAATTTGAAAAATTTTGAAAAGCAGATTAATTGCAGAGTCCCAAAATATGTATATTTATACTCACCTTTGAATTGAATACTTCAGCAATCAGGATATAAGGTATGGACCCTGCTCCGCAAGTAAAGCAGAAAGTGAACAAGAGAATCAATACAATGGCAACCCATGACGGGACTACTCGTGTATGCAGCACAAACCCTAAACTTCCCATGCAAATAGCTACCATTGCTGATGATAAGATGATCAGAATCTGAAATAGTGTGAACAATAGATAATGTTGTGATTTGTCCGCACTTAGCTTATATTACCTTGGTATTTCAAGTATCCCATGTAAACGAATCTGCATTTAGTATAAGAATATTACAGCAGTTTTTCTTTTAAATACTCAATGTTTATGTAAATAGTTTTTCAATTGCCTAACTCTATAACTAAAGTTATAGAAGCGACTGTTAAAGTGAAGTCCAAATTCAGAAGATACTACTAAATTTTGGTACCTCAGTTTCTTTAACTTATTTACGCCTTGTTTCTACCGATAAAATAAAAAAATTGAGAACAAATACTCATTAGACTCATATACCAGCGCCAACACTTCTGTCTTCTAAATTATTCAATTGTCGCTCAAAATGACGATAAATATCCTACTTACCCGTCTACCAGCCTTGTCCACTACTCCACCAGCGACGAAGCTACCACCCATGAAAACTACAGCGAAGATCACCGAATACATATCAGCTTTGCTAGAGTCAGCTTCCATGAACACTTGCTTGGCATACACTTGCATTGGTACCATACCCATAAATACCTTTAAAGTGACAAGTTTTAATATCAAAACATTAACCAGTACATACCATAAAACTATGAAAGCTACGTTATTCAAATTAGGCAATAATGTAAAAGATTTGGTGGGTGAAATTTTCCCTCTAAATGTAAGCATTGAGAAATGTTATTTTTACCTGTAATGCAACAACAGAGATCAAAATCAAAAATGCTCTACGAGAACTTGGCGAAGTAACTGAAAAAAAAATCAGTTATTGATGCAAAGAAGAGAGTGTTGATCACAAAAACATTAGACCTTCAAATATTCTACTCACATAAAATTTTAAAACTTGATCTTTCAATTTCCTCCAGTTTTCCTGCAAAGTTAAGATTGATATCATTTTATTAAATGTAAATTAATTAATAAGCAAACAAATATCTAATATCAAGCTAAAGCATATTAATTAAAGCAAACCGTTATTTAGAAAATCTAAACTCAATTATACCTTCGGCTTTAGCCAAATCATAAATAGGACACATTTGATGTTTCAACTTTATTATTGCTTCTTCTACAAGCACAGATTTTGGTGATGAGCCTCGGTAAACGGCAAGTGATATTCGAGCTTTCTGAAAATCAATGATAGTTTTAAAAAGAATACAGAGAACGTTTTAATCTAAAAGTCTTTTGGAACTAACAATATAAATACCTCTTCCTTGTTCTTTTTCAATAAGTAGACTGGACTCTCATTAATTATCAATAGCAGACCGCATCCGATAATGCTGACTATCAAGTTGATCCAAATAATGGTGGTGTAATTGAAGAACCAACCGAGGTTATAAGATGACAAGACTCCAACACCATAAAACAACACGGTAGCTTAAACAAATTAGGAAAAACCATGTAGTCATTGATTATGGCTAGATCTAAATCAAAATATTGCCACGAAGTTTCTATCATCAAATTAATGTCGCCTATAGAGTGTTGACAGTGTTATTTAAAAAATAATTTAACTAAATAATAATAATCTAAACAACAATAATTTTCATCCCTTAAACGTTAGAAAAATAGCAACGCAAAGTAAATTTTAACAAATATGCTAGATACCTACTTTCTTAATACAAAATGCTTATAAAATCCACTTGGTCCCTGGCACCCTGAGATGGCATTCGAACCCACGACCTTCCGCAATTCGAGCGACTGTTCTAACTGTTGAGCTTCCCAAGACCTAACAGTACTGACGAATCTTTCAATCACTTATTACTTTTCACTACTACAGAGCATATCAATGTGGATGCCTGAACAACAAAAGTACCAATTGCTTGAAAGATTCGTCAGTCCTGTTAGGTCCTGGGTAGCTGAGTGGTTAGAGCAGTTCCCCGGATTGCGAAAGTACGTGGGTTCGAATCCCATCTCAGGGTGCCACAGACCAAGTGGATTTTTTTAAGCATTTTGTATTAAGGATATTTTTCAGTGTAGCATTCTGAATGCGAAATTGAGCAAATATAATAGATACTTACTTGACAAGATGAAAAACATTAATAATGGCGTTCTCTATGGTTGGTACCGTTTCGATATATATATATATATATATTCACGCAGAATCTCCAGATCAAGATTAGTAAAGACATACAAGCGTCAAGTTCATAAGAAGTAATAAAATGTTTATCAAATACCTGACGCTAAAGTTCCTCTAAAAGAATCTTCAGCGACCTCTGATATGAACATAGGGGCAAACACCAAATTCCCACCTCCTGCTATTCCACCAATGAACCGAGCTGCTAGAATTGGTATACTGGATTTCGATACTGCTACTATAGTCCATGCTAGCTGAGAAGTTATTAATTTGAAATTATTTGCTAAATAACTAATACAGAATCTAAAGGAGAACTTAATTTCCTATAGGTATCTTTACGTGTTAAAAAATAAAGTAACTTCACTTGGTATTATTATGTTATTATATTTAAGAAAACCAAACAGATTTTCATACGATTTTCGTCCATAAATAAAGTAATTCATTAAAATGTAATAAAGTAATTTAGATGAAATTACAAATCATTTAAAATTTGTAAGCATAATTATTGTAGGTGTCTAAAAAATCATGCCAACTTGGAGGTTAATACATGTCAATTGCACCTTACAAAGACATGTCGATTGCAACAATTGTATAACAATTATTATATTGTCAACAATATATAGACAATTATATATACATTATAATACAAAAATCATACCAATATTAAATATGGTATTGGACAAAATAAGTAAGATTTTATAGACGAGTGTAGTACTAATAATATTAAAACTTCTTACATGTTACTGAAAATATTAAATTATTGTAGTACCTAAATATTTCAAGAATTTTCCTTTGCTTTCGTTTGTCTAACAACACTTATTGCTACTTTATTTCAATGACTACGTGCAATATAATAAATATTAATACAAGTTATTTAATAGGTATGATTCCTTTGCAATAGCTAAATGATTACTTACCACAAAAGGCAATGTAATTGCTAAGCCCCCCCGTTTCCTTCCAAAAGATTCTATCAGAGGCGCAACTAATGCAGTGCCCATCATTCCACCTAGAGAAGGCAAACTTCCTAATAGAGATACTTCCGTCGATGACATAGGTTCTAATAAAATTGTGGTATTCTCCAATTTGAGTAATGAAACCGTGTAAGAAGGCCAAACGGTAAACAAACCCATAAGAAGTGTACCGTAGGCGCCTGCAAACATGAAAATTACAATTACTTTATAAATGGAAAATGAATACCAGACACCGCTAAAGTCTCATTTTGTTAATTTATTATTTTAGTTATAAATGATATCCAAAATTTTAATAAAGTAATACTTGAATGGGTTTCAGTGCGTGATTTTTATTCAAATGTTTGTAGTTTTATTGAATAAGTAGTGAATGTGGAAATACAAGAAATAATCATCACCTTAGTTTCCCCAAAAGCTGATCAATCAAAGTTAATACAAGTTTCAAGACATCATATTCGATTTGTGATATGGTTTAAGTATCTATAAGTGATTATCATTTCTTAATAGTTTCATTGATTTGATATATCTGGTCTTGATTACTGATTTAAATTACTACAGTTACAGCTGTCTTATAAAGTTATTTGACATTTCATTAAATAATTTATTTTGTTCTACTAATATTCTCTACTCACTTGCCACTGCAGTTAAAATTTGATACAATTTTCCTCTATCCATATTTGATTATTTCATTTCAACAATCGATACTCTATTTTATCCAGCATACACACATGAACAGTCCCTACAGCTTTTTTATGTAAATGAGTATTAAAATTTTATCTAATACCATTAAAGGCAAGCTGTATAATTCAATAAATATGGTGAAATTCGGTAAAGACTTAAATACATATGATGTCAAGATAGTGAAATTACTAAGCAAATATTGATATATTTGGAACACTGCTTCTAACCAATTATTTGATATAAAAATATTCCTGTCAAAGAAAAAACTAATATTAGACAACATCACATACTTTGACAAATTGCAAGATGAGAAACTTAAGCTCCCGTATTAGGGAATATCGGAGACAACGAAGGTGAAGGTGGAAATGTGTGTTTTATGTTATTGTAAGCTTTCATGGTCATTAACATGAAAATGATATTTATTGAAGAGATTACCATACACATAATATTTATAAAGTCTCCGATATTTCGTAGTTACTGCAGACATCATTCCAATGAATGCTTTCTCTTAAAAATTTCAACCGCCATTTCCACAAAAACAATCAGTTATAAAGAATTTAGGTCACATTCGATATATTTTACCACACATTTCAAATCTTGATACTTTTAAAACATCAAACATCTAAAAGAAATTGTAGAAGTAAAAATTCCTTTTGGCAAGTAACTTTTGAAAATAAGAAAGTGATAGAATCTTTTCTTTACCTAGTAAACCTTTAATATTATAAGCACTTAACATGTAAAAGAATAAATGAAATGTACAATTTTTTTTTTTAAATTTCAAAGTTATGTAATTAAAATCATTATACTATCTAAAGTAATCCGTAATCATCATTGATCTTTCTTTATCGTCTTCCTGTTAAACTGACTTACGTTAACGATTACGCTAATCTTACAAATCTAGGTTCTTATCCCTAAGTGGATGTTTTAGATACAACTACAGACCCAAGTAACTAATATTTTCCGTCACTATTGACTCCTTTTTTAAGTTTACTTTTATATCAATGATATAAGGGGTTGCCAAATTGCCTTTTTATGTAAAAGGTTCATTGAATTGATATATAATCTTTATGGTTTGAGGTTTTCAAAAAAACCTTTTTTCACTTGCTTTCTATGATGTTTCAATTGTTTTTGTTATTCAACTTAGACAAGAAAGATGGATACTGCGAAAATTCGAGTGATACGAAGTTAAGAATACGAGTTCCGATGCGGAAGTAACACGGCAGAAACAACCCGCAATATCAATGTAGCGTTTGGAGAAGGGTCTACTAATGAACGCCCCGTGCGACTTTGGTTTAAACGCTTTCGTGATGGAAACTTTGACTTGAAGAACGAGCCACGAGGAAGACCGCTCACACAGGTGAATAACGATGAATTAAGAAAGATGCTGGAAGCCGATCCTATTCAAACTATCCAAGAATTAGCGGCATGGTTTAACGTTACCCTACCCACAATATTGACGCATTTGCGTCAAATCAATGAAATAAAAAATACGATAAATGGGTGCCTGATGATTTGATCTGCAGAAAAAAAACGCGTGTTTAATCTTGTGTTGCCTTGTTGAGTCGGTACAGTAATGAAGGAATATTGGATCGAATTATGACATGTGATGAAAAGTGGATTCTTTATGACAACCATAAAAGAAAAATAAATGACTGACCCTAGATCAAACACCACAACAGTGTCTTAAAGAAAAACTTACCAATAAAAAGGTAATGGTAACTGTTTGGTGGTCTCAGCATAGTGTTATTCACTATAGTTTTCTACGATCTGGTCAAGCAATAACGGCAGATGTTTAATGTGCCGAACTCCGAACAATGTTGGCAAAACTAGCAGTAAAACAGCACCGACTCATGAATCGATCTTCACCATTATTGTTCCATGACAACGCGAGACCTCATACAGCACGAGAAACCGTTTTGAACTTTAGGAACAGCAGTTAGAAACGTAAATATTTGCCAGACCTTGCTCCAACGAACTACCATTTTTTTTTCGTGATTTGGACAATATCTACGTTACAAGAAGTTTTCTTCCCAGGAGGCAATACGACATACTTTCACACAGTTTGTGTCTAGATCCTCAGAGTTCTATCGCAAAGGCATATATGACCTTCCTACTAGATGGCAGCAATTTTAGATAATAATGGTAACTATTTTGATTGTTTAATCAAAATGGTTAAAAATTAATTAATAAATTTGTTAAAAATTAAAAAATAAACATTTTTGATTTTCAGTACAAATCGGCTCAAAAATCAAATTCGACGCTTTAAAACTAGCACAATCACGATATTCATGAAATTTTGGGTACATGCTATGGTGATATAAATGTTTTCATTAATACCTATATATCTTCGATTTAGACAAAGAAGCTCCCAAATTTGGCTGTCATGTAAGGAGTCAAAGGCCTTACAATAATCCATAATGATCCATGTTCATTAATTCCATCAAATATTTGCTTTATGTAACGAATGAATTTAAAAACGCTTTAATTTTTATCAGACAACGTTAAGCTGCAAAGACAAGTAGATGTTAAGATTTTACTTTGTCCTATTTTGGATCTCCACAAACAAAAGATAACAAATCGACACTATCGCTCTTGTGACTTAAGGAGATGCAAATTTTACGTCGGCAAACAGTTTTCATTACAGTCTCAACTGTTGATTGTATTTCTTTCCATGACGCATAATATTTAAGATGTAAATAAGAAGTTATTTTAGTTCACGACTCTATCATAAAATGATCACCTGAAACCAATGTTTATTTTACATAAATACTGTGGTTTTCAATAAATTTTATTAGGAGTTTGAATTGAAATAGAAAAATTTTGCTATTCGCCTACACTAGATTTTCATATTGCTTCTATTCGAAAATTTAGTTGAAACTTTACCTTGGCTATCTCAAATTCCACTTCTTTCAATGCCAATTTGGGCTCGATATAATCAATTTTTGAACACGATTCCTTTGAATTAAAGAATTTCAATTAATAGTCATTAACGACCCTTACTTCTCAATACACATAAAAGAACTTACATTCGTTAAAATATTAATTTATTTTCTAAAAAAAGTGATGTACAATTTTGAATACTAGAAACAAAAATAAATTAGCGTTGCCTATCACAAAACTGCAAAAATTTAATAATTCATTCCCTTGAATGAATTATTAAACTTATTGACCTTATTGCGCTTCTACAATAAGGTCCCAAGCAAAATACAACAATGGGGATGACGACAATTTCTTTTTTTTGTTTTTCCGTCAGGTAGGTTGTTTAAAAACATGAAAAACGTATTTTTTTCGTAATCATTAAATTATACCGATACATATTAAAGGACGTCACGCTTTCGTACATTTTCTACAGAACTGTAACGTAGCAAGCCCCCACTCCTCAAATTTATTACCTGTTACCTAAGCTTTTTCTTGTTAAATTGAAGTTAATAAAATACGTATCCAATATTTTTCTTTATCTGACTGACGGACCTTCTTTTTACCCAGTCGTCATCCTTGTAAGAAATTGTTAAGTTTAAATATACTATTTAAAAAATACTTATTAAAAAGATTATTAAAGAGATTATTAAGTAACAATCTTCTCTCTAGCTTATATCTCAAAATTATCATGTTGCCTGTTATGTTATTGTATGAAAATAGCTTTTTTATAATGTTAATATTCTATTCTAATGTAAAGAGACTTTATATATTTATAATATATTGATCTTTTAATGATATTGTTTTTGTGAATGTCGTTACTTCCATTAGAGCTGGCCAGTATCTTGCTGGTTCTTCTTAACATCTTGAACGAGTGGTAGGGAAATTGTTGGACGAATCAAAAGTACTTCAAACAAATTTATTTGAATAAACAATTTTTTGATTTTGACTTTATGATTAGGGAGTACAAACAAATCGAATAACATATTAGTGTTAATCAAATTAGTCAAGTTAATCAAATTACCTCGATATCGTGGAAGATGCAGATATAAAAATACCAAATTTTCAATACTTAAAAATATATATTTATAAAGAACAAAAACAAATTAATCACTTTTCTTTATTGGAATGTACTAGTATTTTGAAGTCACATCATTGAAACACACAATCTCATCACCCAAGTCATATAATTATTTTTCTTATGTATGTTAATAAGAAAAATAATTGTCTTACAAATTAAAACACAATATTTAATTCCTCTAACTAAAAGTATTTTCTAACTAAATATCTTTATTTCAGAAATTATAAATTATTGCTACAACTTATAATGAAATTTCTATTTCCGCCTGTTCCTAGAAAATATTTCCTGTATCTGCATGTTGGACAACCCCTTCGTCTCTGGTAAAAAGAAGAAGCTTAGAAAAGCGTTGATGCAGGCGTTGAATGCGAAAATATAGAAGATTCCATGGATGCCGATGATTTCGTTCAGCCATGTGAAAGCTGCTAGCACAACGAAGTTCAAGAACCATACCCACTCGATTATGATGGAAGATGCGACTGCTTGTACCTGTAAAATCATCACATTATTAACATAATTATACATACATAAATTGTAGATTCTTATCTAAATATAAATACATAATTTGAAGTCTTTATATTAATAAATGAAACAGCTTTTAAACGATTTCATCGATTTTGTATTTTATTTTATTGACGTTTCCAATCCTTCATAGGTCCCGTGTTCACATAAGATTAAGGTGTTAATTGTCTTTTTGATTAAGAGTACCTTATATATTCGCTGTACAAAAATTTTATATTTTGGAACTAGTGGCAGTTTATGGCAGCTATGGGCAAATAAATAAGTCAAATGTATTTTAAAAATAATTAAATTTGATAAATGTAAATGATTCCATAAAATTTATGAATGTGTCAATAGTGTGTTTGTTTTGAAAACGGCTATTCTCCTAATTAAAAGGACAATCAACGCCTTAGTCTTATGCGAACACGGAACCTGTGAATGGTCCAAAAAGTCAATAAAAGAAAATACAAAGGCGATGGAACCGTTTAAAAGTTGTATTAGTTTATTGATAGTGCGCGTAAAAATATAAGAAATCAATATGTCTTTATAATACTTAAGGAAGGAAACAATCTGCTGGTGTTAGAGTAGGCACAAAATATTTTAAAGAAAATCCTCAGATCTATTTCCATTTTTATTACTATTCCGTTAAAAAAAACCATCACGAACTCGAACATAGCGCTGTCACGTCATAGAGCTTCGATGAAATAAAACTTCTATTTGTCCTTTTCTTCCTCCCTTAAGGTTTTATTATAAGAAGTAGGTTTTATTTAGGTATATCTCTATGATTTGAGAACGCTGTGATCGACGTTGAGTTCAATATTGTAACAAAATAGCACTTCAGAATGCCAGTACATGAAAATTGGAGAACGTGTGTTAAATTTATTATATTTTTTTGATAGTGATAGATAGATATTATATTTTAGATGATTATTGAAAAATGCTTAAAAAATAGTAGATTTCTTAAGCATTTTTCACTAATAATATTTCAGTATAGCATTATGAATGCAAAAATGATCAAATATAATAATTAGAACAATTTTTTTATCTTTATTGAATGTTTAAATATTTGTAAAAATATTTCTTTCAGCTGTTTGGGTGTATTGCCTGAACATTGACAAAAAATAAGCTCTATAGTAGAGAAAAAGTAAGAAGTGCTTGAAAAAATCATCAGTCATGTTAGACCCTGGGTAGCTCTGTCGCCGAGATTACGAAAGGTCATGGGTTTGAGTCCCATCTCAGAGTCCCCCGGACAAAGTGGATTTAATAATATTAAGCATTTATCTCTAAGAACGACTAAAGTGTTAAAAGTTGAGGATATGTTTTGAATTCTTAACGTTCTCAACCCTTTAACACATGTTCTCCAATTATGTTTCTGACGTCACTCTCCGATATTCAAGATCATCATCACCAGCCCACAGCAGTCCACTACTGGATATAGCCCTTCCCCAATACGCTCCATTTTTCACCGATATCGGGCATCGATTTAATCGTTAAAGGTGTGTCTTGCTCTCCCTTTGGTTCATAATCTTACATAGCTTTACAAAGCAAAATTTTTGATCTTTACAATTATACTAAAAAGTGCAAAAAGAAATCTACAGTTACCTCAGAACTGAATACTTCCGCTAGCAGTACATAGGGTATAGACCCTGCTCCAAACATAAAGCAGAAGCAATACACGAAAATCATTGCAACTGTCACCCATGAAGGTGCTAGCCGTGTTTGCAGCAAAAACCCTAAGCTTGACATGCAAATGCACACCATTGCTGACGATGTGATAATCAAAATCTGAAATAATACAAAAATATAGGTAAAGCATAATATATACCTCTGTAACAATGAAATAAGTAACAAAAGATGAAAATAACTATTTGACAAGATAAGTTTTTGAGTTTTATGTACTATTCTATCTAGTTTTTTGGCTATAATTTTATTGTTCAAACAAACACTCCTAGTACTTTCATATACATAACATCAATGCTGCTGAATGTCTAAAAACAAAAGAGGTTAATCCCTAGTCTTGTAAAATTTCAATTCAAGAAGAATTTTGAAAGGTTAATGATCTACTGTAATAAAGTTGTAATAACTTTGGTGTTTATACACCTCTCTTCTACATATTTGTCCAAATACAATTTTTTGCCATATCTAAAGATTTCGTAATATTTAATTTGTATAAAAAGTGACTATAAAATTAGGAGCTCCTGGCTTTCATTAAGCAACTTTCGCAATGGCTGATCACAGAATAGGTGTCCAAAAAGTTACTATCTCGCTCTGCCGTGCTCTTAGTTCGCTTTACTAGGTCTGCCGTGTGTCCAAAACAACATAAAGCCGTCGGTCCAGGTTGCATTTGAATATATTAACATCCGGATATAGTCCTCGTGGGTTATAACCCATTCTTGCTATATAAATTCCATCTATATTGTAACCCTGCAGTAATAGATAGATATATAACTCGTTTGTTGGTCTACATTTATTACATTACAAGTTATTGTTAAAAGCTCAGTTGGTGTAAAGACAAATTATTAGCAACAGTCATCAGAATCATTTGCATACTGATTTTTAGTTGTATCCTACTCGTCGTTTTGGTGCTAACGTAACCCCTGGAAAAAATAATGAGGATAATAAATACATAATGTAATCCACTGACCCGTCTACCAGCTTTATCGGCTATAGCACCGGTGACGAAGCTACCGGCCACGAGGACAACGGCGAAGATCACCGAGTACAAGTCAGCTTTACCGGGGTCGGCATGCGTGAATACGTGCTTTGCGTATACTTGTACTGGTACTATACCCATTAACACCTAAAAACATCGTGAATGTGTATCAGTTGTAAAGTTTCAAAAACCATTATCATTATGCTATGGTAATACGATATATAATATGGAAATGTGTTTTTATGTTATGAGAAGGGACGAAAGTCATGTTACGAAAAGAGTGATGGGTATGCATGTGGATGGATATGTAAGTAGGGGCAGACCGAAGAAAAGATGGATCGACTGTGTGAAAGAGGATATGAATAAGAAAGGTGTGGATGTGGAGCTGACGTCTGACAGAGAAGAATGAAAGAAGAAAACATTTTGTGCCGACCCTCGTAACGTGGGATAAAGGGCAGGAGGATGATGAAATGTGTTTTAGACTAATGCGAAATACCAGGTTCTACACTCTTGAAATCAAAATTCACTATGTATTAACATAAGGAAAATTTACGCTGTCGTATAAATACTAAGATTTACCATATTAAATTGATAAGACAATACTAGTTTTTGTTTCAGAAGCCTGATCTAAATAAATACTATCGAACTCTATAACAACTTCTCATCGTTGATCGACTATATTTAGGTATAATGTAACAATTTCATAGAAAACCTAATAAAATACTAAAGTACATATTTTGATTGTGTAATAAACAAAAATAAATGTACCTGCATCGTAATCACTGTGGATACAACCAAGAATGCTCGACGTGACGTTGGCGATGTCACTACAAAAGAATATTAATTTAAAGTATAAAACACACAATTGACGTTATAATACAACCGTGCTATTCTGAAAAAATTGCCTCGAACTCATCAGCACAGAGCTTGAAAAGAAATATGTCCTTTATTACCTTTTTAAGTACACGTAACTTTCATTTGACTAAACCTTTATGCTGCTGTCACAGAAGCACTGCGCGACGTCGATTTCTAGGCTTATTTTATTTCAGAATAGCACTTCAATGCTGTCATTGGGAGTTAATATAATATATGGCATTATGATGTTCAATTAGTGCACTGGTTTCTTGAATGTCCAATGAGAGCACTGGATATTAACTTCCACTATAATATGGAATATCCAATGGGTTACACTATGATAAAAAGCTCTTGGGTATTTAAATAAATAATCCTACATCATTCTAACTAATTATAGATACCTCTTTAATACTATCCTTTTTAGTGGATGCCAAAAAACAGGTACCTCTCCAGATGCCATTACATTAATAATATAATATCACAGCTAATTATGTACAGTGGCAAAGTGCTATTGAATAATTAAAAGTAACAACTTTTGTGTTAAAATCCTGGCATATATACTACTCACTTAACGTTTTGAATCCAGATTTTCGTTGTGGAGGTCCAAAATTTAAATTCTCGGCATCTAATTTTTCTTTTTCAGTTTCTTCTGATTTCTCTGAAAAATTAGGTTTTATATTGATTGATTAGGTATAATATTGTGCAGAGGAGGCAATATTTTGACAAATCATTGATTCTTCTAGCACACGTAACATTTTTCAAACCAAAACACATGAAAATATTCATTTATTAGAACCGGCATGTAAATACATACCAGTGATAGACACCATCTCATAAACAGGGCATATTTGGTGTTTTAGCCTTGACAGCTCTTCTTCTATGAGCATAGATTTAGCTGGTGCACCACGATAAATAGCAAGTGATATCCGAGCATCCTGAAAAACAAATTAAAAAGAGTTAAATAAAATAATACGACGTGAAATGAAAATAAAGATGTAACAAAAATTCCGCTTACGAAGACAATTGGCATAGCTTAAATTTATTTAGAGCTATATTTATATAATAATGTTCAAAAATGTTACACACACTACTATACGTATTGAAAAAAGTGAGTTAAAATGACCTTACGGAGCTAACAAGAAATTTATAAGCACATCATGCTAACGGTTTATAAATTTCGAGATATCAGAGTTGTTTTAATTCACCTGTTTGAAAACCCTTCTGTCTTTTCTATTATATGTCAAACAATTTAAAAAACAAAAGTAAAGTTATTACTTTGATGTATATGATATGATGATTAATAATAATAATAATTTATTTCTCTCCCACACTTAGATTAACATTACAGTTGAAAGAAAGAACATTTTTTAGAATTGCCAATCTAAGTTAGAGACTGGAAGCTGACACTGAGCTTAGTAGTAAACTTAGCTCTTTATTTTTAGTTACCAGTCTCCCTTTCGAAGAAGAGATAAAGTCTCCCTAGTTGTTAATATAATCAAATAATTAATATTAAGAATTTCAGGACAGACAGTACCTATATTCTCAATTAAATAAAACCTTCAATAACATTTTGACTATTATTATAATTTATATGACGAAATCTTTGATTATAATCGCAAATATAGAAAACATACTGGAAATTAAAAAGCTAAACTAAAAAACTTGTATTTCACATACGGTAACTTAACTTGAATTAGTATAAGAGGAACGTCTACAGTTAACGCAACGTAAAACTAATTATTTGAATTAGTTGAACTAAGTAAAATTAATGAAATATAAGTACCTCCTCTCTATTCTTCTTCAGTAAGTAAACTGGACTCTCAGCAACGATCAATAGCAAACCACATCCAATAACACTGACCACAAGGTTGAGCCAAATGATATTGTTGTAAGTAAAGAACCAACCAAGCAGATACGACGTCAATGCTCCGATGCCGTAGAACGCTATGGTGGCTGAAACAAAAATCGTCGTCATCAGCCTAATAATGTCTCCACTTCTAGATGACGGTGTAGCTTATGAATGGTAACGTTGATTAAAAAGACATAAACCCACGTAGGCCCAGTGCAGGCTGGCAGACGATAACCTCTGCAATGCAGCAATCAAAGGCTTCACATGTATCTGAGTGACAATTTTTTTTCGGAACTTGCCCGGTCCTTAGTTCCTCTTCGTTCACAGGACTATGCCAACACCAGAGTATCTTAAAAACTTTAGTAATCTGACTCACATATCTTATTGTTTTCTATTTTTCAAATATTAGCACAAAAAAGTGCACTCTGCTGCTGCTCATAACTCTATGCATGTCTCAAACTTTCAACTTATGTACATATATATCAGTCTTTATTTTATTTTAATACTTAATGCACAATTGTACATAGGCTGAATTAATGCCTTAGGCATTCTCTGACAGTCAATGTTTGGGTGATGTGAAGATTCAATTATGGTAATAGTAGGTGCATAATGAAGTTCAGGGATATTAACATGCACTAACAACGTAAAGGGAGAGAATGTAGCGACTGTAGCAAGATTGGCTCTTTAGGATATTACGTCTAAAATGAATAATCCTCAATAAATACCTGACGCTAAACTTCCTCGAATAGAATCTTCAGCGACCTCTGATATAAAAATAGGGGCATACACCAAATTTCCACCTCCCGATATACCACTGATGAAACGTGCTGCTAGAATTGGGGTGCTGGATTTTGATACTGCTATTATAGCCCATGCCAGCTAAAAATTGTCAAAACATAAGAGTCTAATTAGTGGAACATATAAATCCTAGAGTTATTACAATTATCAAAGGTATCCAATAATACAATGTATTCTCTTACTCTATCTTAATTTATTATCTCAATACTATTGCTGATAAACGAGACCTTCGTTGATAATAATAGCATCTGTAACTCTCAGATAATTTAATATTTATACAAACATTTTATTTGCTATTGCATAATATTGTCACAACGCGTCTTAGCATTTCAATATTTAAACCAAAATTTCCAGTACAAAAATTGCCATTACTGAGTTTTTCGTATCGATAGAAAATGTTTCGCTCGCAAAAAATGTTGTGCTGTGGATACTGCAGTTCTAAACTGTAAAAATACGCCGTTGTCATAGCATTAGAGGTTCATTTAAATAGAAACTACTTCAAAAGACATAAAGGTTTTATTAGATTAAACCTCTAATGCAGCATTAGAAAGCTGATGATCGTATTGTGACTAATGTGATGATGTTTAATAGTTCATCGATAAATGTTATCAGTTCCTAAATTCAGCGTTTTTAATGTGGATATAAAATAGATTTCTCAGACGTAAGTAATTGCCATTTAAATAAAATTGTAAAAGCCTATCAACTCAAAAAGAGGCGAAATGATACCTGCTCATCCACTTATAGAACCGTAGGGCAGATGACCCGTTTCTGGCTATTTTAAGATAATGACCTAGTTTTGGTTATTTTAAGATTAAGGCCTAGTTTTAGGATCTTTAAGAATTACTAGCAAATGAACTTTGACATATCATAGCTGCTAACGGTTTCAGTTTTCTATAATGCGTTCACGTTTAAGTGCCTAATATATTAGTCTATGCGTTAGTTTTCGTATTTGAGGTTCAAATGGCCAAAAAGGGACAGTGACCAAAACTAGGTATTCTGTCCTCATCAATGATACATTATTCCTTATTTATTGTGTACTTACAACATAGGGTAATGTGATCGCTAAACCACCAAGTTTTCTTCCAAAAGTTTCAATAAGTGGTCCTGCTAATGCAGTGCCCAGCATTGCACCTAATGAAGGCAAACTGCCTAATAGAGATACTTCCGTCGATGACATAGGTTCTGATAAAATAGTCGTGTTCTCCGACTTGAATAATGAAACAGTATAAGAAGGCCAAACGTATAGCATACCCATGATAAGTGAACCAAAGGCACCTGAAATGATAGAAGATCAATTGACGTTAATAATTATGACAAATTACAATATCTATAACTTAATGTATTAAATTTAAATGATGTATATTTAACTATAAATCACTTTGAGTAGAAATTAAATGTAAATTGATTATCCATAAAGGGAAAAAGTTGATAAATCAATTAAATAAGTTTTAATTTGTAAGACATTAAATTATATTAATTAAAGCTCTATTATTATTAAATTTTTGTTCTTGATGAGATATTTAAACTTTTAACTAAATAAACTGAATGAAATCACATGCACCGAAAATAAAGAAAATGAGAAAGTAGAATGATAAAAATGCAAAGAAAAAAGAAATTTCAAGGTAACACTGATAAATCGAAAAGCTGGAAAACTTAGCTTAGTTACATATTTTATGTGACAGGATAAACTGAATGTTAATAAAAAGATGATGGAAGAGCGTAAGCGAGAGACAGCAAAAAATATATATTGTAGGATATAAGACATGAAAGAAAAGTAAGTGAAGGATATGATATCGGCTGATGCAAAATTGTGAAAGAGGATGCACTGGCCGCATCTTAAGGATCCAATAGAAAACTGATTATAGTACTTACTTGCCACGGCAGTTAAAGTTTGATATAACTTTCCTTTACCCATTTTTATGCAACAATATTTTGTTCTCCTTCATTCGTTGTAACTCTCTTCTCCGTTATTAGTAACTGACTGAAATCATTTCTCATATCATTAATTACATTATGTTTAATTAAAATAAATATATAGCGAAATTCAGTTAATCCTCAATTAAATGTTTTGTCAAGATAGCGAAATAGTAGCGTCTCCTTTAAAATATTACGTTCGCCACTTAAGTACACAAAACTATTTCAGTAAGATATTCGCGCATAAAATTCTTAAACAAATAGATACCTGTTCAATTTGTTGTATGTTTTTTGTTCGCATAATTGTTTCAAGGTCACCATCCATCCACCATCTCTGCGGTCCCAGATTGGATATCCAGTCGGTTTATATTTGAAAATAAACTTTTCTACCGTTAACTCGGTTCTGGGTGTTAACATACCTTCTCTGTTTCAGATTTTCATAGCTCAACGACAACAATGCACTTTCTCTCTAGTATAAAGATGATAAAGGGATTACTATTTAAACCAAATTAATGCATTCATTTATTTTGAAATATATAGGAAGACCAATATCAAAGTTAATTTTAATAGAAAAAAATATATAATTATATAGTTTAGGGTTTGACAATCCGTGTGTTATTACTTCTGTCTATAAGATATTCATTTAAAGACAATAATATAATTAAACTAAATGAGATAAGAGATTTTATAAGATATAGATTAGCGTTGTTTAAATATTGTTTACTAGGAAGGTGTCATTGTCTTTTAATCGTACAGTTTATATGTTGTTTCACAATTCAAAGACGTTTGAAACATGAAGTTTAATTTATCAAATAATTTTAATAGCACATCATTCAAGTATGCAATGTAAAGACTTAACTAAAACAGCATTCAGACATTATTCGTATTATACCTCTAATATATGTCGAAGCGGCTGGCTCGGGGCATATCATTGGGGTTTCTTTTGTTTTCCTATTTTGATATTTTCTTTGTGGACAAATGGAAACGCTAAAGAATACTAGGTAACCCTGCACTTTTTCGAAAAAGTTTTAGCCTTTATCACTATTACTTAAATGCTTTATTTCACGTCTTCAACAATGCAAGAAGATGGTTGTGACTGATACATGAAACAAAATGTTATGATATTTAATAGCTAAGAGTCAATGGTGATTGAGTTCAATAGCTAATGGCTTACAAATGATTTACTTATCATTTATATCTTATGAGAAAATCAAATATTGGATTTAACATAAAATGTTAAATGGGAAGCAATTGACAAATTAATAATGATAGAGACATAATTACATTAGTGTCATTAGCAAGTATATTTTTTATTCTTCAACTTTATATATTTAAATATTAAAAAAAAGCGCAGATTTCTCCTCTTCCTAAGAACCCCACCCTTTCATCTTTTCCTAAATACAAGCCCTTATCTATTTCACTCTTCCTTTCTAAAGCCCTCGAACGCCTTTTGCATAGCCAGCTCTCCATTTTCCTGCACAAAAATAAACTCCTAAATCCTGTTCAATCAGGTTTCCGTCCAGGGCATATCACAGATGGCATTACACTGGGAATGAGTGATTCCCACCTAGATTTTAGCAATTCATTTAATACTGTCGACTTTGATATTCTGCCTGGAATTCTGCGCTCTATTAACATACAACGATGATTGACTGGCCTTATATTTACATGATTGGCCGCAGGCAACGTATCTGTATTGTGGAACTCAGATTTAGCTTTAATTAGTAATTAGAGTGAGAGTTTTTAAGATAAGCAGGAGAATCCTGCTTCTCCTGCTTATCTTAAAAAGAGTTTCAATTTTTTTTCTGACACCCACTTCCGCCTCTTGAGATCATCGTACTCGCGATACCCATGCATTCCTCTAGAGTTAGAGTGTTTGACAAGTCCTTTACTGTACACGCCGCTAGTCTGTGGAATAAGTTGCAGGATGCTGCGAGGCGTGCTCAGTCTTCAAATGTTTTATAAAATTTAGTTAAAGAATTGTATTTAATTTCTCTAAGCTAAGTTTTTGTATTTATATGTGTGTGTGTGTGTGCATGTATGAGAATTAATTGCATTGTATATTCGTACACATAAACTTTACCTTAGCTCGAATGCACTGCTCTAAATTATTCTCTTTATCAAATTTCCATATGCGGTTACCTAAAAGAGATCGCTTATAAGCGATAAGGCCGACATTTGCTTCGCTATCTTTGTATGTTTCTAGTATGTTTTCTTTTTTTTATGCAATAAAGTTTTTTATTATTATTATATTCGGCGTCAATATCCCGTAGAGAACAGCGCTGTAAGAACTTAAACCTTTCATTGAACCTCTATGCTGTAACAGCACTGTGCTCAAGACGAATGAGACGGCTGTTGGTATAACAAATAGTGAAGCTGTTAGCGATAACTAGAAATCACTCAGTTGTCGAAATTCGACTATAAAGCTTCAATATTATTAAGTTGAATTAACAGATTTACTTTTTAAATATTGTTTGAAATTTGTAAACCAAAGTTTTAAAGACAAGTGTTTAATATTTTCTTTATTAATCGCTAAAGGGCTTCGCCCGCGTGGTCTTGTTTTATACATAAAAACCTTTCTATTGAATCACCCTATCTATTTTCACCCTATCAAAGATCTCCAAAGGACCGACCTCCTGAGCATCCCGCATACAACGGGAGCATACATAGGGACAGAAAGGCGACTTTGTTTTATACTAATTAGTGTTTGTCATCTCTCTATTAACGTCCCCAATGTTAGTGCTCAAACCTTGACATCATGAATGGAATGAAAAAGGGAGAATGGACCTTGAACCAACACGCAAACTCAGTACGGATTATCGGGTATTAACCATTGCAGATGTAGCCGGGCCCCACCACATCATGTGCCTTCCAAATCATGGAGAAGCTCGATGTTATAAATTTTTGGGCGTTGCATAACTGCCATATCGCAGACCAAGCTCTATGCTCTATTCGTTGATTTATTAAATGAATAGAGCATATATTAATTTTGTTTATCTAATCATTATTACTAAACTTTTTCATATTATTTCACATCTCAAAACGTGGTCCGAAATTTTTCATTACAAGTATTCATATATTGCAAATATAGAATTTCTGCAGTGTTGGTTAACGAAACTAAAAAATAAAAAATAAATTGTAATAGAGGTATAAAATTTATTCTTCAGATTTTGTCTTAGGATCTAATTATGTAAACCTTTACATTCATTCATTCTACATTTTAACTACCTAACTTATTTTAATATGTACTACAGTACTTAACACAATAACATATCTACGGTAATAATAAAAATATAAAAAAGTTATCTAATATTACTTGACTAATACTGAATTTATCATGAAATTCTTTCACCTACGGTTACATGATACGCAGGTGACATAGTCTATAATTTACGCGGGGCAATGCGCGGGTGCAATACCTAGTATGTACTTAGACATTATTATGTTATTTTAATAAAAATACTTCTGTTTGCTATGTTTTGCTTGTGCAAAATATCTGTATGATACAATTTTTTCATTTACAATCTTTGCCTGAGGTAATTATTAGAACGAAAACAAATTGACATTAAAATTAGGTAACATATACACATAAATAAGGTTCTGAAACAAATTATGATTTTATATTTAAAAGAGTCTGAAGACCCTCCAAATGTCTACTAGAAAAAAATACACTATAAATCGAGATCTATAGTAATACTGAGTCAACTGATTAATTACACTGGCCAGCGAAGTCCGCGTGCGGCGCTCGGGCAATTTCAGTTCTGCGTTTCCATTGGCCGATAATTGTTTTATTTACCAATAAAATGAGCATGCAGAGGTTGCCCGCACTCAGCATGTTTACAATAAAATCAGTACCAATCTCAAGTACAGCGTTATCACACAAAAGAGGTTCAATCGAATAAAATCTACTACAAAATTCAAATTCATCATCATTATCAGCCAATTTACGTCCCCGATGTAGAGGCTCAGGACTTTCATACAGATTGTTAAATCTAGGGTTTTAACGACTGCAAATTCGAAAGGATTATCTGATTAGGTTATTATTAGCCTAACTAGAACATCGAATAACTACTATCAATGAAGGTATCTACAATATTTTTGATATAGCAGAAGCATAATAGCGTCTATATATTCTCTTTAACCGAGTTCAATTATAAAAACGCTTGCATTCAATAATGCGTTAATCTTAATAAAACACTGTCATTATGTGTCTATTTAAATACATCAATCATTCTCATAACTATAGAACTACAATACCTATATTTTTACATTTGCTAGATAGTTGTAAGACCCAACACAAGTGCGTTTTGCCCCTCCATGGATCACTCAAAATTATATTACAGATCCGATTCGATTAAGACTAATACCGGCAACTTCCAAAATAGATTAGATATTTTTTTTAGACCTAATAATTGTAAAAGCTAATGAAAAAGAGTTTAAATAACAGCATTGTACATTATTAATTGGTCCTGAATGTTGCAAAATATCGTAGTTCAACAGTTATAGCAATTGAATTTTACAAGGTATACCTCGATTCTATAAAACTAGATTCAAATATTCCTCTTGATGTTACTTTTAACCCTAGGTTTCCTCTGAAACAGTAATTGTATCTCATCCGCTGATAGTCCTTTAGTCTCGGGCAGCCAAAATTGACTGTAGATAGCTCCTGCGAAGCAGATGATTGAGAAAATGCAGAAGGTAAATCCTAAACCGATGCCTTGGACAATTGGGTTAAAAATAATAAGGGTCATGAAGTTCATGATCCACATACATGCCATAACAATGCTATTACCGAGGCCACGAACCTGTAAGAAAAAAGTCAATTAAAATATAAAACCGTAACTGAATGCGATAATCATATTTTTTTATTGTGAAATAAAATATCACGGATTGCGCATTTTTACTAGGGAAAACTTGTAAGGATACCATTTAAATATCCAATGTTAGCATACAAAATACATTCGCTAAAGGATCTGTGCTTGAAAATTTGACATTTTAACCAAAAACAAAACTGTTAAAGTTACCTCTGGCAAGAACACCTCAGCTGTTAAAACAAATGGCACAACCGCAGCTCCAAGAGTATACACGAAACTGAACGCATATATAAGAATTGCAGTGACCCAATGCGATGCCCAGTGGTACCTCAGCTGAGTACCCAACATGAGATTCAAGATGCCGGACCCAATACATGTGGAAGTTAATAGGAACTGAAAAATAATGTGATCATTAGCATAATCTTGGCCTATGAACTAAGAAACAAATATTATATGTAGAAAATGTAAGTGATTTCTTTGTTCAAGAGTATTGTTGTCATATCTTGGCTGCCTAAATTCCGAAATCGAAATTAAGGAGGTTGTCTTTGAAAAAGTATTTTTTACTTTATTCAAATAAAGTTGTTACAAGCACTTTTGAATCTTCGAAAATTTTTCCCTACCATTCGTTCAGGACGTCTTTTGGCTTTTAACGAATAATTAATAAAAATTTACAGAAATTCACATAATCTTATTTTAAAAGTTATTTATGCCTGATGCACTAACCTTTCTCCCCAACTTATCTAACAGCAAAGCGCATAACAAACTTGCCACCAAGAAAATTACTGCAAGGTATATTGAACATTGATTGGAGTCCATAGACGGTACCGCTTCTTTGAACAGCGGCTCCGCATATACTTGAAGAGCTATGGAACCCATCCAAATTGTAATTGACATGATAATAAGCACTGTCATTAGAGCCCGTTTCGAAGATTCGGATTTCTCTGAAATTATTAAATTCAACTTAAGAAGTTGCCTAGCAATATTCTGATAACATATTATTTCATCACATGAGTTATATTCATTATCGATAGATCTGAATATTTTTTTTTATTTTTAGAATATGGCCTCAAACTTTTAAACAATTAAATTTAAACAATAAACATCCACATTTTTTTATTAATTAAATTACTAGAATATTTCTTCATTCTACTTCATTTTTATGCAATAAGGAGCTGGATGGAACAATATTTAACCCGTTCATTCTGCTATTGAGGATATTAAGCAAGCTTTGAAAAAGCCAGTCGTGGGACAAGTAATTAAAAATTGGTAAGCTCGTACTGTTCGTGTCGGAAGGTAAATTAATGCCATTCTCTTAGCTGTAACTTAGTTGTTAACATCCACCAATCTCCTAATCTAGATTTGGATAAAGAGAAACAGCGAAAATGGACCTTCGATTCAGCAGTGGAGATTTAATATGATAATAATATTCTTTGGAATTACGGATAAATCTTAAGATTATATATTATCGGCCATTTGGCCGCAATAAACGATATCTCAAATATCGGCTCCAAGCAGTCGCCATCTCTGAGATAATGGATAATATAACCACCCAAGTAAAAACAGAAACTTATTCTTTCTGTATTGTCTCAGGCTAGTTATGTTGGCGCTGTTTCATATTACTATAAGACAGGTGTTTTAGCTATTTAACTTGAGATCTGTACATTTTATATGATGATTTTTACTATCTCACATATACGCTTTCACATTTTAATATTATTCAAGAACTCACTCAAAAACTTCCATGCCGATAGCTCTTCAGAGTTGTCTTTTGGATTAGTCTTAATCAACTCTTTAAGCGCAGGATCTGTAATGAGTTCAATGATTATTTAATGCTTTGCATTAACGTTAATACATGTAGCCTTCTTATGGAGGCTGTTATAAATCTTATCAGATTAAAACTGTTATGATAAGTGCTTGTGTAAACTTAATTTGCCTTTTAATGTCTAATTTTTAAATTCAACAAACGAAAGATATCATTTCAATATTTGTCTGTGTTTTAAAAAACTTAATAAAAATCTTGCTTCCGTATATATATACTTATATATTTATAGCCAATTTTATAGCATCATTAGATATTGGTTATATGAAATTTATAAAAAAAGCGATAAAAATCATTTTTTCCAATATCTAACAAAATAACAAAAATCGACTTCAAGAACTCGAATAATTACCACTAACACTCGGACAAAGAACAATTTCAAATTCAAAAAAATTGTGGATGCAAGGTATTTACAACAATATCCCTAATTAGGTGATCTGCACTATATTAAAAAAAAGTATCTTTAATTTTTAACTATCTTTCGATTTTTTTTAAGTCTCCTTAAGTTTTGTTTTTTCTACACTAAGTTTTAAGTGTAGAAAAAACAAGTGTCTATGCACCTAAAGTACACACAACTGCACGTCAGACTACCACGTCGTGTCAAATTTCCTCAATCGATTTTGAGCTCTATCTGCAATGCATTATATTTTAGAATAAAGTGGAGACATTTGACAGTTTTGTATAGCCTGACGTGCTGTTAATTGTACATACAAGGCATAAAGACGATTTTTTCCATGACGTATTAAACTTACATATTTATACTGAAGAGATTTAATGTTTCTACCATAAAACAATCGTATGATAACTATGCTAATAACGCCAACGATTTTATTCAACAAATTCTTATATTATTTTAAATAAAGTACTCTATAAATATTATTTTTTCTAAATAAAAAGGAATAAAAACAGAGCTTTCTGCCGGCAACTTTGCTCACACGAACTATGTTAGTCCATACACATTATGTCCACCTTTTTCACCCTCTTACAGGTTGAATTTTCAGAAATACTAGAATACTCATTTTTATTTTCTAAACAAATACGATTTTTATCGATTCGATTTACTTACGGAGTTTCATACAAACTTAACCCTTCATTTTTTTTTAAATTAAGGGTGTATTTCAATATTCGGTTCAATTTGATAATCCTAGTAGTTTGAGCTGTGGGTTGCTATATCTGTCAGTCATTAAGTCAGTTTTCCTTTTCATATATTTAGATTAAGTTACCACTGATATTTTTTGTGAGTACTTGAATTAATTTTAGTTACGAATAATACAATCAATATCAAACCTTCAGCAGCACATAAAATGGTTTCAATTTGAGGATCGAGTTGGAGTTTTATCTTGGATATCTCATTTTCCACTTCTTTTGACGTCACAGACATGCGCCGATAAAATGCCACAGACTTTGTTGCTTCCTACAATATGTTAATTTTATTATACAACTTTGTAGCTATTTAAACATACTATAAAGTTACTGATACTTTTATTATGGATGAAAGAAGCATTGTGTCTATTCTCTATTCTTTTCCATCTATTGGATTACATTTAATTCTCCAGAGGATATTCATAGGCTGATGATGATGAATATAATCTTTATTTTAAACTGTTGAAAAACGTCTGTTTAGATGTTTCATATAAAAATACTATATAGTATTGTGAATCGAACGGTTAGTTAAGCCTTTGGTCAGAAGTACACCAAATCGTTCTGCGCTCGCGTGGTCCATGCGTTCACCTTATGTTACTATATGCTTAAGGCACCTAACAGTATGAATAAATAACGTATATAAAAACAAAAGGTCATATACTCATCATGAAATCTCAGAAACTACAAGTACTAGAAGTTATTTTTTTACTAAGTGGTATAGTTGATATCGTTAAAATCGACGCAGACAATCATTTAACAATATATAGTATGTACTTTTATACCTTGTACCTTGACTGACTGTACTTTTAGTTAAGTAAAGTAAATGATAATTAATGAGTAAAGGAATCAGAGGATGAGTTGCTGTTACTGATATATAAATAATTACCTTCTCCCTTCTTTTTTGCATTAAGAACACTGGTGAGTCAGGCAGCGCTGTCAACAGCGCGATGTACAAGATAGACAAAGACAGGTGGACATAGATCACTTGGTCGTACGTTAAGTGACCTCCTAAAGTGTACGAGAACAGAAGACCGAGGAAATAGCCAGAAACTGTCAAAGATGTTAATGCTCCGCGTATGGAATTCTGAAAGACAAAAGGATGAATACATACTATTGCAAAAATGCAAAATTATGACTTAAATGGCTCGTAGTCAAAGTCAAAATTATTTTTAAAAGCTCTTTTGAGTCGTCCGACATTTTTTTCCCTACCATTCAGGACATCTTTTGGCTGAGAAGAACGAGCAAGAAACTCATCAGCTCTTACAGGAGTTCCGAAATTTACAAAATTCATGGCATTACCAAATATACAGTAGAAATTGATTATTCGTCATAACTGACTTTAAGGTTAAATACTTTTTCTAAGATACCACGGTATACTGGGATACCAATACCATGAAACAAAGACGGCTGCAATAGATTTTAGTTTTATCAGTTGGTAACTAGCATATTATTGAATTTTTGGTTTTATCAAGAAGTCACTAGTTCTCCAAACCTCACCTGACCGCGTGATTCTCTAGGTATAACGATAGACAAACTAAAAAAGTTTTTATATCTATGACTAGAGAAATAGGCAGTTGCTCCCCCGACCTACATACACTCACTTAGATGTTAAATATTTCTCAAGAAATTTCCTACTCAAGTATGCTATTGTCGAACTTCAGTTCTTTCAGACGTTATTTCAGAACTGAAATAACGTGTAGGTTTTATTTGATTGAACCTCTACGCAGTCTTACACAGTCGCAAACAGAGAAACACAGAATAGCGAAGCAGCTTTTTATTCTTTACTTCCGTTGCTTTTGTGGATTCCAAAATGTCAGAAAAATTGTAGTTTTGTTGGAATAACCTTGGAAAGCAACTGGATTAACTTACGTAATAGAATTCTACAATGCAGATATAAACTCACTTGACAAATTTCCGATATGTAAACAGATGAAACGGCTTGTCCAGCAGCGCCCACGCCAGCGAAACCCACAGCTGCCAAAACAAGTGGCACATAACTTGTTACCGATAGTATTGACCAAGCGACCTGGAATATTCCTCGTTTCAATTTATCTATTCATAGTCATGTACAGCGCCAGCTCTCGCGCTGTACATAACTAACCAATTTTGAGTACCGTGGATAAATACTAAACTTGGATCAACATATAGGATACTTATTGCCCAAAAACAGGAGTGTATTGTATCATCATGTAACGGATGGGGCGAAATTGTTGGGTAGAATATTTTCTACTCTTCTTTTAAACTATACAATGGATTTTAAAGCAGGTTACATTGATATACAGAGTCAAGATAATTTTTTATAAGTTGGCGGAAAGTTAGTGTATAATATAAAGAAATTCCTTGGGTAGCTCAATTAGTTAGAGCAGTCGCCTGATTGCAAAAGTTTTTGGGTTTGATTCCCATGTTGGGCATTTGGAACTGGTGAATTTACAAGCATTTTACTATAAGGAAGAATTACATAATTAAACTAGTTAAATTAAAAAACAAATGAGGCGTTATTAAATAGATAGATATAACATACCACACTTGGTAGTCCAAACAACATAGCAGCATATTTTCTGCCGGCAGTGTCCAGGACATAACCACAAAATGGAGTGGCTATCAGACCTCCGATGTTGGTCAAACTTCCCAAAAGTGACACCTCTAAAGTAGACATCGGATGCGACAGTACAGTATGATTTGACACGAAATTTGCCAATGTATATGAAGGCCACGCGTATACAAATCCTGTCAGAGTAGTCAAAAACGCGACTGGAAGAAAATTAATTAAAAAGTTTTTAAAAAATGCTTGACGTAAGTACTTGTGTCACTTTATAATTATATTTTAAACATTTTTATCTATAAAAAAAATACTCAATGTTTGTATTTCCTCCCTTATATCATATTTTAATCGACACTCATATTTATTAGTTTTAGCGCGATGGATGGCGCAGTGGTTAGCGCGCTTGATCTGGGATACGACTGCTTTACAGAAAGAAAAACAAATGAGGTTATAAGAAAAAATATTTCGATCATTTTAAATTATATCAAAACTTACTTTTGTTTATATTTTTATACAGTTAAGATGCAATATATTAGTGTTGCAATATAGTAGTATAAAAACCTATTTAGAGTCACCTTTGCAATTTTTCTGTCAAACAAAGATTGAAATTTTTGGCAAATATTAGCTTAAACTCAGAATAAATTTGGTTGAAAATTATAATATCGTGCTCTTCCGTACTTCGGAAGGCACGTTAAGCCGTTGGTCCTGGCTGCATCTACAGTCGTTCACAAGCGCCAATCCGCACCGGGCCACGTGGCGGGTCATGACCCATTCGTCCTATTCGATTTAACTCGATTCCATCTTTATGTAATGCCTGAGCTTCAGCAGTGGAGACATTTATAGTTGTGTGATGATGAAGTATTAATTTGACGTGCCGATTGGTTGTAACTCTGAGTTAAATTTGTCTTCATTTTGCCTTAGTTTTAACTCCAGTTTGCAATTCTAAATCAAATGCAAGCAGAGTGTATCTTTCTTATACTTGTTTTTTTTTTATTATTTAAACTAAATAATTGTACAATTTCTGACAAGCCCTGCTCAACATACTAGCGGGTCACTATATGAATTAAAAACGTAAAACGTGTCACTATAACGCCTACTTAAAGTTTAAGAGCAATAGTACATTGCTCTTAAACTTATATATTTACAAATCGATCTAAAAATAGGGGAGCTAACATAAAGCAAACGTAATTTTTATGAGTTTTGTAAAAGATAATATGTACCATTATCTATAAAAAAAATCACATAAAAACCACGTACCCGAGTCCGAAACGAAAGTTTTTACTTAACCATAGTTGGACAGCTTTGATAAGCTCAACAAAACTTTGTCGAAAGTTTGACTCAACCTCATTTTGATAAAGAGCCTCATAATATACACAATAAATATATACTTCAATAAATATTCTATATTATATATACAATGTATAAATTAAGAAATTAATGTTATTACGCGCTTCATTGACGTTTACCGTTTATATTAAAATTATCACAACTAAATAAAGTTTGTTTGTATAGTTACACTGAATAAGATTACAATAAACAGACACAAATAGAGATTATAATATATGGCATTGTGTGATAAGAATACATCTGTGACTTTTGATCTTGATAAATAAATTGAGTTTTATGCACCAAACGAATTCCAGACTATTTTTAAAATTAATACGTGACGTTGTATCCAAAACTATTTGCGGAATGTGAAAATTCATTAGATCTGCAGTTAAGTCATAAGAGTAATAGGAAAATGAATGTGTTTTGTTTCAGTAACCTTTTTTAAAGTATAGTAGCTGTCTAAAATGCTGAATCTTAAGTATTTTAAATTAAAAGCTTAAATAACAAATTTGATAACGCCTGTTCATTTATCATTAGCAACAATGATTGAAAGTGGGACAGTAGAGCCGGTTTTAGTCATCGGCCTCTGTTTGGCTATTTCAGACATCAAGGCGTTATAATTAATACAGCAAATACTTTTTTAACGTGTCTTCAAAATGTTGAATTATGTACAAATTAATATCGTTGTTTACTTTGATGTGTTAAAGTTCGCTTATTCGTACCTTTTAAAATAACCAAAACTAGGTCATAATCTTAAGATAACCAGAATCGGGTCATCTCTAGATTAGTAAAACAGAGGTTTTACATATCTTAAAATTAAGGCTATATATTTCGTACTAATTAAACATACGATATTATATTATTACACACTATATTATTTAGACCTATGTAATAACTAATAACTCTAGTCCACTTTAAACCTTATATTTTACTACTGCTAGGTAGACCACTGCTGGGTATAGGCTTTCTCAATGGGTTTTCCTTTTTTTATTTAACTTTTTTCATGTTTTTCGGACACCTTGCGTTAGATAAATTAAATTCATTAGATTAAGGGCTGCATCGAAATATATTTATATAAAATAATGATTTAAATTTCTTATTATTTAAAAATATTGATTTTTGCGGTTTCGGAATCAATCAAAATTTCACTATATCAAAAAACAAAAGTGGTAAAAAACTGTCCTTAATAATCTTTTTATACCGAAACAATAATTTATTTAAAAACAGAACATAGAAACAAAAGGAGTTCGAAATTCACAATTATCACTTACTTATCATAGACGCCAAACTCTGTGTCAAAAAACCGGGAATTGTAACTTTTTCCTCCATTTTTTTTTCTTTTTGAACAAGATCTCTTTTAAATGACTTATACACACGTCGTACTATGTGTTCTAATAGTGACTAAATACACTAGTGAAGTTACTTCAATTAAAACATAATCTGATAATTAAATGAGATTATTTCAGAGATCTATTGACATAGCGCGTGCATTTACTTACCACCATAATCAGAAAATTAAAAAATATAGTTTCA